CTGGAACTCACTCTGTAGACCAGGCTGGCCTCGAACTCAGAAATCCGCCTGCCTCTGCCTCCCGAGTGCTGGGATTAAAGGCGTGCGCCACCACCGCCCGGCGGCTCATTGTTTCTTAAAAGACTACATGGTGTGGCTGTATGTCCTGGTAGTAGAGCAGCTGCCTAACATGAAAGCAGTCAGCTCTAGCCCATCATGTTTGTTGCCATTGTATGCAGATAAAACTGGCTTTACACTGCAAAGCACTGAGGAGGACTAGACAGTACCTGCTGGAGAGAGGGCCTGCTGAAGAGGACTCAGCTTTTGCAGAGGACCTGAGTTTAGTTTCTAGCACTAAAACAGAGAACTAATTAAAATCATCCAAAAACTAAATTTAAAAAATGAAGAGAGGGCTGGAGAGATGGCTTAGAGGTTAAGAGCACTGACTGCTCTTCCAGAGGTCCTGAGTTCAATTCCCAGCAACCACATGGTGGCTCACAACTGTCTGTGATGGGATCCAATGCCCTCATCTGGTGTGTCTGAAGCCAGCTACAGTGTACTCATATACAAAAATAAATAAATAAATAATTATTAAAAAAAAAAATGAAGAGAATAGCTTCAGCCTGAAAATCCCAACCACTAAATTTACCCATTATACTTATTTTAAGATTTCCATGGGCTGGAGAGGTGGTTCAGTGGTTGAGAGCATTGGCTGCTTTTCCAGAGGACCAAGGTTTGATTCTCACTGCCCACATGAGGGCTCACAGTCTACAACTCCAGTTTAAGGAGATCCAATGCTCTTTTCTGACTTCTATGGGCTATACACATATGGCGCCAATACATGCAAGCAAAGTACCCATACACATAAATCAAAAATACATACATACATAGATCATATTAAAAAATAAGATTTAGATTTTTTGCCTATAGTGGATACTTTCAAGTACCTTAGAGTTGTTTTTAATATTTTATTGAAATTTTATAATCATTATCTGTGATGTGTTAACCCAATAAAGATATTCTACCACATCTTGAATAAAGTTTGGAATTAGAAGGAAAAAAGCAACAAAGAAAACCACAACTTGGGGGCTGTAGAGGTGGCTCAGCCGTTAAGAGCACTAATTTCTCTTCTGGATGTTCTGAGTTCAATTCCCAGCAACCACATGGTGGCTCACAACCATCTATAATGGGATCCGATGCCCTCTGCTGGTGTGTCTCATATACATAAAATAAATAAGTCTTAAAAAAAAAAGAAAGAAAACCACAACTACATATATGAAAACAAAGTGCATATGGTTCATGTGTTAAGTCTTTCTATGTGCCTTACTATGCTACGAAATGAAGAAAAAGCTAACCTGCCCCAAACAAAACAAACAAACAAACACACACAGTAAAAGAGCTTTGTAAAGACAGGAAATTTGACCTATAGTCTCTTGGGCCATTTGTTCCAGATACTACCATACACTACCTCAAATCTCAAGATGCTATAGAGCATGTTACTGTGTAGAATCCCTACCTGCCATTGACGGGCCATGTCCGAGTGATGTCACTCACATAGCAGGAAGATTCACAACCTCCATCAAGAAGCACCATTTCACCATCCTGGAAAGACAGGGGAGGAGGTAGCAATCTCACAACTGCCAGCTGTTTCTGTTCATCTTAAATGTCTATGGGCACCAGAGAGATGGCTGGTAGGTATGAGCACTTGAACACTCGTTCTTGCAGAGGAGCTGGGTTTGGTTCCTAGCACAAGGTGGTTCCCAACCATCCTTATATCTAGTTCCAGGGGATCTGATGATCTCCTGTAACCTCCATGGGTCCATGCAAGCAAAACACTCACACCCACCCAGCCATGCACCAACCCAACCATGTGCAAGCATGCACGCACACATACATAGTCTCGGGCCAGTAGGATGGTTCAGTGAGTAAGGATGCTTGCTGTACAAGCTTGAGAATCAAAAGTTCCCTGGAGTCCACATAAAGATGGGAGGAGAGGACTGATACCACAAAGTTGTTCTCTGACCACCACACATGTACCTATCTACACACATATCATATACACAGTAAAAATAACATCAGGAAGGCCTCCTAGTCTATTATTTGTTTTTGGAGACAATTTTACTGTATGGTTTTGGTTTGCCTGGAACTTGCTATGTAGGAAGACTGACCTTGAACTCAGAGAGACCCACTTGCCTCTGCTTCCTGAGTGCTAGGTTAAGGATGTGTGGCACCACTCTCCATTATTTTATTAAACCAAACAAACCCCAATCTTTTAGGGAAGAGTAATCTGAAATTCCTTCTTTCAAAAGAGACATCATTTAGGTCCTGGAGAGACAGCTCAATGGTTAAGAATACTGAATGCTCTTGCAGAAGACCCAGGGTTGATTTCCAGCATCCATGTGGTGGCTCACAACCATCTGTAACTTCTTCAGTTCCAGGGGATCTGATGTCTTCTTCTGGCTTCTAGGGGAAGCCTGCTTAACCCTATGACCTTCAGTGTTGGTTGCCTCTTGAATTTCTGGGAACAGAATAGTTTATTTAAAATGCCAGCTGAGGCAGAGAAAGAAGTGGGGAGGGTGGTGCTAGCAGTTCGAACAGCTAAGAATTCTTAAAGGGCCAGTTGACTAGCAACTGAGGATCCTTTTAAAGGCCAGGTACACAAGATAAATCATACTACACACACATGCAGACACCCATACACACCAAACCGTCCACCCCATTAAAAAAAAAAAAGATTAGGAAGCACTCTTAACTGCTGGGACATCCCTCTAACCCCAATGTTATTATTACTACTAATAGTAAGAAAACTATGTATGTTAGTTAGTATCCACTTCCTTACTTAAACACAATTACTCTTAGCCTCTTTTCTCAGGGTCTCAGTGTATAGCTCTGCTAGTCTGGAACTTGCCATGTAGACAATGTTGGCTAAGAACTAACACAGATTCACTACTTAGCCTCTTAATTTTAGCATTTCTTGTCTGCTGCCATAATACATGTGGAAAAGAAGAAAACTTTGTACTTGCCCTGATCTATTCATACACTTAAGAGATAGGGTGTATTTTTGTCACATGTAAATAAAAACAAACTCTGGCATAAAAATGATGGTATTTACAAGTAATGACAACTTTAAAGAATAGAAATGGCAATAGATGGATAAACTCCCTGATAAATGGCAAATTGGCTCTGGATACACATTTTATAAAATGCCATACAAGCTCAGCTGGTCTGTTTATTTCTTAAAGAAACTGTCGCCAGAGCGTGTTGGTACAAGTCTTTAGATCCTGCACCGGCAGGTAGATCTCTGTGAGTTCAAGGTTAGCCTGGTCTACATAGCAAGTTCAAGAAGAGCCAGGGATACACAGAGAAACTCTGTCTAGAGAAAAACAAAGCAAAATAAAAACTGTCCAGTGAAATCTATTTTTGAGAAAAGATGTATTAATTATGATTATGAAGCAGATTTAGACATGACTATGACTTAGGTAGAATATACAAAGTGGCAGAAAAATGTATAAAGTTGTCTCAGGAAAATAAACCTAATTGATGTAATCACTTTCTAAGTTTTTGGTATTATCAAAGATGCAAGTATGTGTGTCTTTCAGCCCAGAAATTCCACGAGTGTGTGTCTCTTGGATACACTTATTATCATACATGCCAGGACAAAGACAAGAACTTCCAAAGAACACTGTTTATAACATTGTGAATTTGGAAATAACATGTAAATGTCTATTATCACATAAAGAAATTAAGCAAAAAGTTCATAGTATTAAAGTCACTTAAGTCAGGCAGTGGTGGCTCACACCTTTAATCACAGCACTTGGGAGGCAGAGGCAGGTGGATTTCTGAGTTTGAGGCCAGCCTGGTCTACAGAGTGAGTTCCAGGACAGCCAGGGCTACACAGAGAAACCCTGTCTCAAAAAACCAAAAACCAAAAAAAAAAAAGTCATTTAAACATAACAACTATGTTTGTATAGTACAGATCAGTGTTAGAGCACCTGTGGGACCTCAAGCTTCATCCCTAGCACCACAAACAACATAAAACCCCCAAAAGACTGCATATACCTGTAGAACCAGCTACTCTGAGAAGGTTGAGACAGGATAACAGCTTAAACCTAGGAGTTTGTAGACAGCCTAGGCCACAGGTTAGACTTGTCTATTTAATCCTACCTATAAACTCTAGTACTTAAGTAATATTTTAATGAAAAAAATGTTATCTTTTTAAATAAAAAATTAAAATGCTGCAATGTTTTGATTTTTATGAATTTCTGTTTAGCTCAGTAGGAAAGCTGGCTAGCTTTATAATGGCCTTGGTGTTCAAGTCATTGACCATGATGTCAGAAAGTCTCTAGGTCACTCCACTGTACACTCGTGATAGGACAAGAGTGAAAAGGCACATCATATCCTAGTAGTCTTTTTTCTTTTTCTTTTTCTTTTTTTTTTTTTTCCGAGACAGGGTTTCTCTGTGTAGCCCTGGCTGTCCTGGAACTCACTCTGTAGACCAGGCTGGCCTCAAACTCTCGAACTCAGAAATCTGCCTGCCTCTGCCTCCTAAGTGCTGGGATTAAAGGCGTTCGCCACCACCGCCTGGCCCTAGTAGTCTTTACAAATATTAATTTAACCCTTTAGACCACAGTTTGTTCTATATCACTGAAACTAAAATGGACAAATTGCAGCTGTGTGTCACTAAGACTGCTGTCCAAAAGGTAAATGGTTTCAAGTCAGGCATGTGGTGCATGCTATAATGCCATCACTTGGGAGATTGAGGCAGGAAGATTGCTCCAAGTTTGAAGATAGCTTAGGCTACAGAAGAGAATTCTAAGCTAACCTGGGCTATGGAGCTAACGCCACAACCTTACTCCCAAACATTCTGAAGTATATAAAGTTCAAAAGTAAACAAAATCAAATTATGTGTTTATTAGTGGTAAAATAAAAAGAAAACCTAAGGTATGGGCTGGAATGTAGCTCATAGAGTTCTCGCCTAGGATGCACAAAGCCTTGGGTTCCATCTCCAGTATTATACAGAACTGGGCATCATGGAATCCTCCTGCAGTCGGCAATCCTAGCACTAGAGAGGGAGAGGCACACAGGAAGGCTTGGGGTTGTTCTTGCCCCAAATGGGTTAAGACCAGTCAGGACTACATCAGACCTGTCTCTCTAACACCACCACCACCATTCTCACCAACTAAACAAAGAAACAAAGACGTGATCACCACCACTATACATAAATACATAGAAAAAGAAAATCCTGAATTAGTAGGCAGAGTAAACCCACAAAAGGAAAATATCAGCTCAAACGTCTCCACAGGCAAGCTTACACACTGCATTCTGGACACGAACTGCCTGGCTCCACCCAGGTGCTGCTCAGACCCTGCCTGTAAACTATGGCTTGCTAATGTTTAGTGGTTATCTTTTTTATCCACTAAGCATGCATGCTAGTAACTATTCTTACCTAATAGGGCTACTCCAAGGACCGATGAAATAATATCCATTAAACCATTTTAGAAGTAATAAGGTATTTTTTAATGGCACTCCATTTGCAAGGGGAAAGGCATGGAGTTCTCTACTGGGTACCGGGACCTCTCCAGGAGCAGAATGCAGGGGTGCTCTGGTGATTACCTTGATGAGCTGATTATTCTTCACATAGTGCAAAGTGTTGGAACGATTACCGCCTGCAACCACAGGTGGGTAGGCTAAGATGTTGGCACCTCGGGCACGGCACTCAAATTCAAACTGTGAAAACAACAAAGTATGATTCGAAATTTCTGTGGACCTTCCCCAGCCCAGGCTGTCTTCAAGCACTACAGCTGTGCAAACTGTAAGTCATTACGGAACCCTGCCATACTTAACCAAATGGTTTATAGCATCAACTCCCACAATTCTTTAACTCTTCCCTGCTGTACTATATTCTAGTCTATAAATATCCGCTTATATCAATCCTGCTATTCAACTTTACTACATACATGTATATTTTGAGACAGGAGCTCAGGTAGTCCAGGTTGACCTCAAACTTACACTGTAGCTAAGGGTGACTCTGAACTCCTGATCACCATGTATACACTCCCTAAGTGTTGCAATCTGACATACACCAATTCATCTGGCTTCAACCTTATTTTTTTTTTAAAGATTTATTTATTTTATGTATGTGAATACACTGTTGCTCTATTCAGACATACCAGAAAAGTGTGTCAGATCCCATTACAGATGATTATGAACCACTATGTGGTTGCTGGGAATTAAACTCAAGACTTCTGGAAGAGCAGTCTCAAGACCTCTGAAAGAGTTCTCTTAACCGCTGAGCCATCTCTCCAGCCCCCACCCCAACCTTATTATTTAATCTCTTGTAATTTAAATTTTCCATGGTTTTCAAAGTAAGCCCAGAAGATGACAGAGAAAATCTGTAAAGAAGGCTGAGTCCAAAAATACATATAAGGCTATTGTTATCAGTTAAACAACAAAGTACACCTTACTTTTTAACAATATTTCTAAGTGGCTAATTTCAGTCTTGCAAAGAGTCTCACTAGCCAAAATGCTCTGGGTAGGTGGAAAAGGATGTTGGGGAACTAAGCTCCGTCACCTTTGATACTCTCTGACTCTACCTGGTACACACACTCAGCACGGGTCTCCTTTTGCAGTCTTTCTTCACTGGCTCTGCCCTGCACGTCTCTTCAATGTAACACTTTACATGTATAAGTTAAATTAGGATTTGAGAAGGATATACTATCATTTCTGTGTCTGCCAGGAAGCCAATATATGCTACTTGTAAGCCAGTGAATTCATTATTTATTTGCCCCAATGTGACCTTTCCCGCTACTTGAAGCTCACCTTCGCATAAAGAAAGGCTTCATCTACCGGAGCTTTACTGGCAAACATGGTTTCTATGAAAGCCTGCAAAGAGAGGGAGGGGAAAATGAATGCAGTGTCATTTTATCTGTCACTCAAACATTCAAAAGGTTGGAGTTCAAATAAGAAGCACCTTTCATAGCTGGGCGTGGTGGCACATGCCAGGGCCACACAGAGAAATCCTATCTCAAAAAAAAATTTTTTTTCCCAGTGACCCAAACCATGATTGGTTTGACTTACCAGATACACTGAAATCAGTGGTATTTAGAAAACTTAAGGAGTTGGAAAAGTAGATTGGAAGGAAAATGAAGATTTAATAACAGGTCTGCTAAATATTCAGGAGTGTAGTTACCACCTTCAGCAGTGGCACAAATTAGGCTAAGGATGCCTACAGATGAGCTTCTCTCCTTGGTCAACAGGTGGCGTGCTAACAAAATAACTTGTGTTAATTCACAATAATATCTGAGGAACTGTGAGATTACAACTGAAATGAATAAGTGGCTAAGTGACAAGCTGGTGCTGACATAGGGTAAGAGAACATGGAACAAAGAGCTGTCAGTGAAGGAAATGAGTGACTTTCTAGGTCACTGTGTACAACTCCCTTATAAGCCTCTGTAAAAAATGTTTCCTGTTAGTTTTAGTTTTAAAGGAGTGACATTTCTTTCTCACTCTGTAGACATGATCTCACAAAGTAGCTCTAGGTGGCCTGGAATTTGGTATGTAGATCAGGCTGGCCTTGAACTTACAGATATCTGCTTGCCTTTGCTCCCCCACCCCAAGCGCAGGGGTTAAAAGTGCCCCCCAACACGCTCTGCAGTGAGTGAGATTCTTTGCTTTAAACAGCAATGGCCTGATCAGGCTAAAAGTGTGTTCACCCTGATTCACAGAGAAGTGCTGTATTTATCAAAATTAATTAAGAGAGCATTCTACCATATATACCCATAGATAAACCAGGAGTGGAGGTGCATATCTTCTAAGACCAGCATTTAGAAGTCTGGGTAGGATTTTGAGTTTAGGGTTAGCCTGATCTGTACAGTGAAACTCTACCTCAAAAAAAAAAAAAAATCAAGCATGAAAATAAATGGCCATTCCCTCTAATGCCTTGAAATGAAATAATCATGGCCCTCCTTGGTCAAATCAATGTGTACTGAAGATGCACGAATGCTATGGATGCTTGCCTATGTGATACTACAGGACAACAGCATGTCCTTCAGGTAGGGATGACTGAAAAGGCACTGCTAGTAGACTACATGAGAAGGCTGTAGGACCTCAGAAAGATGTAAAAAAAAAAAAAGTTAAGATCTTCTCTCTTAGCAGGCATGGTGGTACATATCTGTAATCTCAACACTTGGAAAGTTTGAAGTTAGCCCATGCTATTTACTGAGATCCTTTCATAAACTAAAGTTCACTTTAACAAGTGTTTATTAACAGTGACTTGGCCAATGATTTTTTTTTTTTTTTTTTTTTTTGGTTTTTCGAGACAGGGTTTCTCTGTGTAGCCCTGGCTGTCCTGGAACTCACTCTGTAGACCAGGCTGGCCTCGAACTCAGAAATCCACCTGCCTCTGCCTCCCAAGTGCTGGGATTAAAGGCGTGCGCCACCACTGCCCGGCCGGCCAATGATTTTTCATCCTGATATGACATCAAAAATGCAGAGAGCAACAACAACAAAAAGACAAGTTGACCTCATAAAAATTAGAAAAAACCTGTGCATCAGGCAGGTAAGACAGCCCAGCAAGGTGCTTACAGTAAAGCTAGACAAATCCCTGGAGCCCATATAAGGATGGGGACAAACAACTTCACAAAGCACGCACATGTCGTGGAGTATTATATGGGCCCACACACAGTAATAAATAAATAATAGAAAAGGACACTATCAACTGAGAAAGAGCAGGCCCAAAGACTGAGAATTTATTTACAGATCTGAGATTAGTGACTAGAGTGTATGAGTAGTTCAGACACACTAAAAATAACCCAACCACTGTAGAAAACAGTATGGCAATCTTGGAAAAAAAAATTGATGTTGGCTTACACCTGCAATCTCAGACCTTGGGAAGCTGAGACAGGAGGATCATTATGAGTTCAAGGATAGTATAGGCTAGAGAGTAAGACCCTATCATAAAAATGAAACAACAATATAAATCACAGAATTATTATATGATCTAACAATTCTACTTCTGGCTGAATAATCATGTTCATACCAGCACTATTCACAATAGCCAACATATAAAAGAACTATGTGTCCACCAACAAATAGACAAATATATGGATACATAAAAAATTATACATACATACATACACACACATACATACCAATCACACAATGGCATAATACTTAGGTATGAAAAAAATTTTGATATGCTGAAAACATGCTACCTAGGTGAAATGAACTACTCATAAAAGGGCAAATGCTTCATGATTCTACTTGTAAGTAGCAGCTAGAATAGACAAATTGGTAGAAACAGACTGTGAAAAGGAAGTTGCAAGAGTCTAGGTGGGGGAGGAAAGGGGATGTTGCCCATTGAGTACAGAGTTTTCACTTGAGATGATAAGTCTGGGTGATGATCTCAAACCTCTGATCTGTACACTTAAATTATTAAGCACCTGCATATCTCACACATGCACGCGCACACACACACACACACACACACACACCAAATATATGCACACATGCAACTGGAAACAATAAGGACAATAATTATAGTTCTAAACTAATTCAGCTTTTATACAGTTAATTAACAATGGTACAAAACAACACAAAACTTGATATTTATAGGAAAGTATAGACAGGATACCTGTCATTTGCCTCTCATCAAGCTCTTCAGGTTACAAAAATCCCAAGGCAGATACACTCAATATTATCTGAACTTAAAGGAATTTACAAAGAAAAAGACTCAATTATATTATCAGATTCCAAAACACTGGCTCTGAATATTAATGTGGAAATGGAAGAAGAAAACTTTGAAGTCTAGGACTTCTTGACTCAAACTCTGGCAAAGAACTCAAGACCTCTTCTTACAAACATGTGAGTGAAAAGGCCTAGAGGTAGAGAACGAGCTCTTTAGACCTAGAAGACACAAGAACACAGTACTATGTAGGCTGCTAATGAGTCTCTTAGGAATGACAAAACTCAGTCAGGATTGTGGACATACTGCTGGGATAAAAATTCAGTTAGTTAAAGATTGAAACGAATGGTGGTGTACTGCTTTGCTGAAGATGTAGGTGATAAGCATATAACATCTGAAATCCACCTCTCTATTTAAAGAAAAAATGCAAAACTTACAGACTCTCCCTTCTTCAGTACTCACTGGGATTAACTACACCAACCCAAATAGTAAATATGAAACAACTTAATACTCACATGGCAGTCAGAACTCACTGCCTATACCAATGGAGACTAAGAATAGACTATACAAGGCCCCGAAACAAACTACCCAAGAGCCTCCACAGTACCTGATAAAGTATCCAACAGAGAGAACAAGTTGTTGGCGAGTGGGATTCTGTATAACTCTTGCCAATTACATTTTTCTCATTATGACTCATCAGGGAGAGCCAATAACAATTTATATTCCTTATCTGGGTGGTGGCAGCACATGCTTTTAATCCCAGCACTCGGGAAGCAGAGGCAGTCATCAGATCTCTGAGTTTGAGACCAAACTGGTCATTCCAGGACAGCCAGGAGTACACAGAGAAACTGTCTCAAAAAATAAAATCCACTACCAACAAAAACCCCAACAATAACAACAAAAATAGTTTATATTTCCAAACATATTTACAGAATCACTTCAAGAATATATAGGGTAGTGGAGGTGCAGTTCAGTGGTAGATGTGCTTAGCAAATCGATGAGGTCTTGGGTTCAATTCCTAGCAATCATCTTTTCAGGGAATATATAAAGAATAAATATTTTCCCTATATTGCCACAGTTCAGTGAGAGAGGACCTAGATTTAGCACATCTGGTGACTTAAAAGTATTTTTTTCTTAATTTGTGTAATGCTCTGGCATCTGTGGCTGTATGTGAGGGTGTACTGCTCTTCCCAGGGTTATGCTAGTACTTAGACATCTTAGATACAGCAACCACCTTGCCTATGAGTACCCCTTTACCTTGTAAACAAACCAGTCATGAATCTTTTATCCTCCTCATATCCACCCCAATTTGAGTCTGTTTACCAAACTTCTGTAGTTCAGAACACTGTACCTTGCCCTAAATTACCCTAGGCAAAGATATCAGAAAACCAGAGTCTTTATCTGCAGTCCCTTTAAAGTCTACCTTAGTCTGCTTTTTCTGTCTGAATATACTTTCCTCTTGCTCCTTCTGCCTCCTGATCAAGAGTTCAGAAGAGGGTAAGATCTCAATGGAAGAACAATGTGACCACTGAACCAAAACACAGGTTGCCTTTGTAGTCGATAAAGGAACTAGTAAGGGCCCTAAAAAGTAAGGGTCCTAACCACTTGGGTGAATGCTCACTTGGGTCACTGTCAACAGACATGCAAGTGCTGTAATAAGCAGAGGTGGACCATGAATAACCAGACAAGGACCCCCATCCAACAGTGATGTATCTGGGTATGCTGCCCCAAGAGTGAGGGTAAACATGTTCCTTCTTGGCATTTACTGTTGTTGTAATCAATAACAGTTGTTTGTATGAAGAAGAAAAAGTAGGAAGGAGGGAGGAAAGGAATGAAGATGGGACAGAAGGAAGGAAGGGAGGGAGGGAGGGAGGGAGGGAGGGAGGGAGGGAGGGAGGGAGGGAGGGAAGGAAGGAAGGAAGGAAGGAAGGGACCCCTCCATATAGGTAACTGCTCTTGAGAAACCTCCATGGCAGTTCAGAGGGCTGCTGAAACTCATGAAAGAAACCCTCTGTCAAGGAACTCAAGGAGACAAGGCTACAGCTTGTCTAATCTCTTGAGATGGCAATCAAAGTTATGCTATCAATGAAAGAAAGAGATCAGCATTGTGCTGATCTGACATCTTGCACTGGGTCTCAAAACTGCCCTGGCCAACAGCAGAGTCTTATTTTTTCTGTATGATGGTATCAGTGGAGTAGCTTGATGATAAAACTTTAGTGGGAAAATATGGGTTAAAATTGACGATGTATTTGATTGTAATAACTATTTCACTATGCACACTGTTAAAGTCACCAGAATCAAATGAAGTTGCTCAATTCAATTCTAATTAAAAAATAAGACAAGGCCCAGTGAGTGGACAGTAGGTAAAGGTGCCTGCCATACAGTTCCTCATGTAAAGGGAGGAGAGAATGAATGTCTAAACTGTCTTAGGATCCCCACAAGTACACTGCAGCATGTGCACACAATAATAAAAAATAAAGAGTCTCATGTATGATTGCCTGATAATAAGTATCAGAAAAGATACAAGAACCACAAACTTTCAAAAGGTCACTGCAACCTTATGCAAAAAAAATATTCCTGTAAAACTTGTCTGTCTAACCTCAGATTGGCACCAACCTTGTTGTTCATTCTTTGGACAAGTATTATTGCTTCAAAATGTTTTGCCATCTTCCCTTTTGCTTTGAAAGTTTTTCCCTTGCCATAACGTTTGGATATACTCACAGCCTACACATCTGTGCTATATGCTATTCTCAAATAAATAACACTACTCTTTGGAGACTTTTACTGAGGCTGACAAATATGTCATCAACCTTCTGAACAGGTTAAATACAGACAACAAAAGCCAGTGAGATGGCTCAGTGGGTAAAAAGTTGCTTGCCACTAAAACTAAGGACCTGAGTTTGATCCCCACAACCCACATGGTGGAAAGAGAAAACTGAGTCTCACTAGTTGTCCTCTGATCCCTCATATGCACCATGGTATGTATGTCCATAAATAAGTATAGTCAAAAATAGAGGAAATAAGCTGGTCAGTGGTAGTGTACACCTTTAATCCTATAGTCCTTGGAAGGCAGAGGGGCAGAGGGGCAGAGGCAGAGGCCTCTGAACATGAAAGGCTTGAGTTTTATTATCTGACAAAGAAATATTCCCAATAGCAGCCATACCTCTGATGTCAGTTTCCCAGCAATTTGCATTCTTTTAATTTCTGCAGGAGACTTAACTAGCCGTAGGCGCTGTATCAGATGCTGGACACTCCGAACCTTGTTCTTGCTCCTGGCTTTGGCTTCAGTTAGAGGCTGCATGTAGTCAGAGTGAAGTTGTGCATGAGAAGGCTTCATCCAGTCATACCAAACCATGTTCGTCTCAGCTTAAAATGGGAAGCCAAAAATAAGTTTTAAAGCAACAGAGGTTGAAGGCCTACTTTAATGGTAGACTGCAGCAGAACAGGGACTAGCACAGTGGTGGAGCACTTGCCTAGTACACGAGGCCCTCATTCCTTCGAAAATGAAACACAAACAGCGTAATAAAAAGAAATATATCGAGTAAGACAAAACTAAAAAAAAAATCTGTTGTGTAGAATCCTAAAGGTTTGAGTGACACTTTATCAAGAATGAAGCATCTGATGGTTCTGACATAAATCACTGGAAAGGTCATTCTCTGAACTCAGTGTGACACTCTGGAATATAGACAGCTTTCTACCACAAAATGTCAATTTTCTTACGAAAAGGACAGATGGGCTTAAAGCTTTATTATAGTGAGAATTATTATTATTATTTTTTAACTTTTAAAGAATAAACACAACTGTTGTTCTTTACCTCCATAGCTGATTTCTGCCCTTCTGAATTACTGAGCATAAAAATGAGTCATCTGCTTAATCACTTGTATAAAATGGTTTAGAGACAAGCTAGCTCAGTGCTTCCAGTTTGAACAGTCATGCATTGTATCTGTCATTTGTTTTGCCGTAAGATCTAAAAGGGTGGTACACTTATCCCCAAAGCTATGCTCTAAGGCTACTAGCGGTTCTCAACCTTCCTAATGCTGTGACTCGTGAACATCTCAATTATAAAATTATTTCCATTGCTACTATATAACCATAGTTTTGCTAATTATGAATCATTATGTAAACATCTGATATACAAGATATCTGATGTGTAACCCACAACGGGGTCAGGACCCACAGGCTGAGAGCCACTGCTCTATGGACTCATAATGAAAATGATGTATACCACTCAGCAACTTTGTATATAATTCATCTTTTTGCTAACAGTGGATCAAAAATGTCATTCTTCACTAAATCTGTAGGGTTGTATGATTAAAAAAGTGTATTGGGACAGAACAGGGGAAGAACTGAGGAAACTCTGATATACCATAAGATACAACTCCAATGCAGGTTTTTTAAAAAACAAACAAACAAACAAACCTGTAAATAAATTTATTAGATTCATTAATACTTTCCAGTATCTAGTACTTTTACCTATCAAACTACTAACATTTAGAATACTGGATTAGCCAGGCATGGTAGTACTTGGATAGCACCTTTAATCCCAGAGGGGTTGGGTCTCTGTGAGTTTCAGGACAGCTGGGGCTATATAGAACCCTGCCTTGGAAAGAAAAACAGTAGATATAGCTGGACTTGGCATGCCTTCAATCTCAGCACATGGGAAGCAGAGAAAAGCATATCTCTGTGAATTCCAAGCCAGCTAGAGCTACAGTGTGGCTGTCTCAAAACAAGTGAGCTAGCAGAAAAGCCAAGCAAACAACAGGAATACTGAAGGTGCTTGGCTGGTAACTTTAGCTAGACTCAGGAACCATGTAACAGTGGAAGAAGAGAACTGACTCTATAAAGTTGCCCTCTTAACATCCACATGTACTATGATGGCACATCTATCCCCTCCATAACACACACACACACACACACACACACACACACACACACACTTAAAAACAAACTTTAAAGAAATGGTGTCTGTGGGAAAGACAGTGAATAAGAAAAGCCCTTTTAAGAAACACATGAGGATTTAACTATAAACGATTAAATAAATTAAAAAAAAATAAGTGTAGGAATATTTTGACTGTATTATGTGTGTGTGTACCATGTTTGTGCCTGGTACCTGCAGAGGCCAGGAGAGAGAGGGTGTTAGATCCCCAGGGACTGAAGTTAGAACAGTTGTGAGCCACCGTGAGGGCAATTTTGTGGATTAAAGACATGCCAAGTCTAGCTTTTAGCTATGGGTGGAAACCAAACCCGGGTCCTCTGGAAGACCCACCAATGATCTTAACTACTGAGTCACCTCTCCAGCCTCAGATTAATTTTGACTGCCAAAGACAAGAAAGGCAGCAATATATGTAAGAAATTGAAAGGCCAGAAAGAAAATGCTTTTGAGCTCAAATTTCATGTGGACTCCACAGGCCCCATACAGGTCTCATCATCTAGCTCCGGCTGATCTTAAACGTTTACAAACTTTCATGCCTCAGTCTCCCTGAGTGCTGGGACACAACACACACCACCACATATAGCAATAGTTTTGTTTTCTACAATGGACACATCTTTTCACAATGCCCAAAGAAATGCTGTAGGAGAATTATTTTAGAACTCTACTGTAGGCCAAGGAAGGCTGGCCTTGGTCTGTGGTTTGGCTTTACCAGCATTACCTCTCAGTTCTGGTAGCAGGTGTTGAAATTCTTCCAGTGGGTAGGCTTCGTCCACTCCAGTTAAGGCTATTGCTCCATCTGTGCCAGATCGAGGGCCATCCCACAATTCCCGACCAGGATCTCTCCGAGGCACAAAAAGCATGGCCTTATGGGATGGTAACTGCTTCCCAGAGAAGCTCTGAAGGACCAGAATGCTATCAGGCTCTTGGAATCCACAGAGATACAGGAAGTTGTTGTCTTGATGGAATGTGTAAGGGATGTCATTGCTCATGTAGTATGTAGGGTTAGAGAGTACCACCACTGTGTGGTCTGTTCCACTGTGCCCTTGTGCTTCTTTGTGGACCAGAGCCATAAGTTTATGTCTTCGAAGTGCATATTCCACCTGAGATAGCCCTGGTGTCACCTCTCCTACAAATGGCAAGAAAAGAAAAGGGTCAATTGATACACTGCATGGCTCTACTGCTCAGTATCTAACGTTGCTACTATTAGATGGAGACATATACGATCATCTCTTTAATTGACGATATTGTACACAAGGAATTAAGATAATCCAGGTTTTAATTTTTCTGCAATATTGTAGTCAAATGTTATTACATTGGAAAAATTGTGCTTATGACCTCATAAGATTTAGTATAGATCTTAGGTTCCTTCTTTCATTCATCTAATCAAGTATTATTTAAAAAATATTTATTTTTCCTGAATGGGTGTTTGCTTGCATGTATGTCTGAGTATTGTGTGTGTGCTGGAGACCTCAGAGGCTAGAAGAAGCTGTTAGGTCCCCTGGAACTGTAATTACAGATGATTGTGAGCCACCATGTGGTGGTGGGAACTAAACCTGGATCCTCTGCAAGAGCAGTCAGTGCTCTTAGGTGCTCAACTATCTCTTTAGACTCTTATAGAACATTATTATGTGGTAGGGACTGCTAGGCATATAGTCAAAGTTTCCCTGAAATTTCAATATATTAAATACATTTTGATATATTATTTCTATGTGACTTCCTTGTAAAATGAATGTAATGACACAATGACACATGACAGATTTTTGTCTGTTCAACATAATACCAAGGTACAAAATAATTGGAATATAGTAGACTTGATAAATGTTTGCTGATGGTCTATAGGTTCTGTTATACAGTTGGTAAAAAAATTTTCTTCAATTTCAAGATCTCTCAATGCCACGGTGAACCTTTCCTACTTTCATTCTATATTCCAAAGCAAAAGAACCAATGAAACGATCACTCAGGGGCTGACAAGATGGCTCAGTGGTCAAGAGTCGACACTCCCTTGTAGTCTTAAGTTAGGTTCCCAGTCCCGCGACAGATGGCTCACAACTGCCTATATCTCTAGCTCACAGGGCTCCACTGCCTCTGGCATCCAAATATGGACAAATGGACACATATCCACACAACTAAAGGATAAAAACTTAAAAATTATCAGAGTGTAATTTACCAAAGCACATCCCTTCAGCCTTCACTTGCTGTTGCCAACAGCCTCACCTGAGAAAGAAACATATTCCACGTTCAAGAGCACTTTGACCTATGGCACACCAAGGACAGAGGAAAGTGATCTGTACTAGCGACATTTCCACCCCAAGGGAACTGGAATCTGATACTTGAGAAGAGGTGTGGGCTGGTTATGGTCCTGTATGTTTCTATTCATACTTGTTCTCTCTCCTCCCTGGTGATCTACTAAGCACACTTCTACTGCTTGTGAACATGGCTAAAAACACACTGCAAGAGGCTCTGTGTCTTTAGAGGTTCTTGCAAGCTCTCCAGATCCCTAGTCTCCCCACTAAACTCACACTGCAGACTTCCAATCTCTGTTCCCAGACTGAGCTCTGCCATTTGTGGCAACTTTCCAATAATATGAACCACCTGATGTTTTCTGAGAGCCCAGTCCATGTAGAGACTAACCACCCCGTATCAACTCATTTAATCTGTATAGTAACTATGGCATTATTAACTCTCCCAGTAGTGACCAATCTCCAGGTGTAAATATGCAAAGACAACTATGTCTCAGTGCTGTGTGAAAAGGTACAAAGTAAAAGCAGACACAGACATAATTTTAGAAAAGAAGCAAACTTCTCTTTACATCACTCTACTGGGGACTGAGATTAGAACACCCAAAAATCTCTGTTTAAGCTGCTCTTGTACTACTTGAATTCTAAAGGGTATATACTTTAATAATTAATTTCATAGAAAAATAAAGCAAAAAAGGGAAGCTTTGGGCTAGGCATGGTGGTTCATATCTTCATCAGGACTTGGCAGGCAGAGGCAGGAGATCTGATCTTTCTGAGTTCTAGGCCAGTCTAGTCCACTGTGAGATTGTATCAGAAAAAAGAAAAATAAAGAAACACATTGGGGCTAGGGAGATGTCTCAAACATGAGGCCCTGACTTTGGATCCTCAGTGTCCATGTAAAGATGAACAAGTTGGTACACACATAATCACAGTGCTGGAAAAAAAAAAGACAGAAGATCCTGGAGACTTGTTGGCCATCCAGTCTAGCTGAACTAACCAGCTCCAGGTGTACTGAGATCTCTGTCTCCAAAAATAGGGCAGAGCAAACACCTGAAGCTGACCTCTGGAATGCCCCTCCCTCCCTCCCTCCTTTCCTTCCTCTGTGTGTGTGTGTGTGTGTGTGTGTGTGTGTGTGTGTGTGTGTGTGTGTGTGTGTGGTGTCTATGACATCACTGGCATAAATGGACCCTCACTTCTGGACAATACCTTATCCATAAGCATTTATAGATTTAGCTTTTTGCTGCTGTAATAAACATCACTGCATTTGCATCCTGGCAGTTTAACGTCCTATGACCACTGTTTTCTCCCTGCCTTTGTCATAATTCCCAGAGCAATTCTAGTAATCAAGAGGACCCTGAGAATTCTCTTTGTAACTATGTTCAGCATACGTAACTCAATTGTGCTTTACTTTGAAACTGTCTAATTTTACTCACTTGTGTAGAACTAAGTATAGCAAATCCTGCAGTATGCATTCTATTAATAAAATATGTTTAGGCCAGGTATGGTGACACTTGTCTTTGATCCAGCACTTGAGAGGCAGACACACATAAAACTATAGTTCAAGGCTAGCCTGGTCTATGTAGTTAAATGTCAGGCCAGCCAAGGGCTACATAGTGAGACCCTGTCTCAAAAAAACAAAAAAAGAAAAATAACAAAACCTTTTTAAGTTAAAAATAGGTAAAATAAAAATTCTGTTCACTGTTATTGATGATCAAAAGTCACTCTGATACAAAGTCAAATGATTTCATTATAATTTTCTGTGAAACTTGGATTTAACTAGGTCTTGGCGAATTGTCTGAAATCTGACATGTTCCACACTCTATACCCTAACCTCTACCCTGAATAGATGTTTTACCAAACAACTTTGAAATGTTCTGCCAAGTTCCTACATAACCAAAAACCCTTGGAACACCCCCTAGCCTTGCAGTTTTTTGGGCTATATAAGCCCCACTTTTTCCTATGTTCAATGCTATTCTTAACCTTTCTAGAGCCCCGTCCGACTGAAAATAAAACTTGCTTAATTTGACCAAAGAATTTGGGTAATAGTGTTTACTTTCCTTCAGCCAGATTAACAAAGATCTTGTCCCCATATTTTTTCCTTCTGAGATGGAGCCTCCCAAGTCTCCTAGAACTACTGGGCATAAATATGAACTTTGTACCAGAGCTAAAGCACAGCTTGACTCTTTAATAACTATTCATGTTAAGTCTGCCATTGTTACACAACATTGGAAGTTTCCTAGTTATCCAAGCAGCAAATGTGTGTGGGCTCATGTGTGCGTGTGCCTGTGTGTATGTGCATGTGTATGACGGGAAAGCAAGGTTTGAGGAGCAGAGTGGCAGCTCACTGCAGCAGGGAGGTCTGAGAACCGGCTGGCCTGTTCTACTTCCATAAAAGCAGATACTGGTTATAATTTTAACTCCTAATTCTGCTGCGTTTATCTCTAAGAGCTGAGATGACAAACATGTATCACCACACTCAGTTTTCAGGGTTCTGGGGACTGAAACCAGGTTCTCAGGCATGCTAGGCAAGCATTCTACCAATTGAGAGATAGCCCCAGCCTCATTTAAAGCATTTGCTTATGAAATCTAGTTTCATGAGAATGATTATTTTAAGGTTTTTAAAATATTGGCTGTATTTTTCCAAGTCTAGTAACTATCAACAATTTGGAATGATCATTAGCTAAATGCTTTCAAACTCCCCAAATTTCATAACAGTAAAGTAATAAATCATAAGAGAATGCTTACATAGGAAAGGTATCTTTTCTTTTCATCTGGTGGGGAGAGTGGAAAGCATGTAAAGGAATGAACTTTGTACTCTATTAGTAAGCTTGGCAGTTACAAAGGCCTTTGATCACAGAACAAACAGTTCATCTGGCCTGGATTTCTTCAGATAAAACTGTTGTTATGTCTGAGTAGGCATGCTGGCACTTTATGAAACTGTAAATGATTAAGGATTAAAGTTGGCATTTGATCTTGTGGAATCAATTAAAGACAGAGGGGCCCTTCTAACAACTTTGCTGAACCAATCAAAAGACTAGAAGTCTCACAATCAATTCTAAGACTGCTGCCAAGAAGGAAGTTCCTTTAAGACATTTAGTGGTGGAGAGCAAGAAGATTGTTCTTCATGTTTTGTTAGTCAAGCAGAAAACTCAGAGAGAAAAGAGCAATAAAGACTGAAAATGGCTGGAAAGATGCAGATTTTTGCTGTACTCTAGGTATGTAGTTTAATTATTTCTGAAAACTAACTAGACTGATATTTTAAGGTGGTCTATTCCAAAAAGAATTGTTTAATATTAGGTAGTTTTTACTGTATACAAAGTAGTTTATGAACTGATTCACAGACAGGAAAGAGAAACTATTTTGTGTTCCCTTTGTAATGTGAGACATGGGCTTCTGAAAAATGAAATAATATTCAAGTAGACTTCATTTGCATGTATTGAGCAAAACAAGTAATAGAAAGGGCACATACCATACAATTCACTTATAGGGCAACATAACAGGCATTTTGATCTTGAAACCAGAGGAATGGATTCCTATGGAAGTGGGGGGATCATCACAGCAGAGCATGAGGGAACTGTCTAGAGTACTGAATGTGTGTGTCTGTCTGCCACAGTGTATATGTGGAGGTCACAGGCCTCTGGGTTTCTGTCTTTACCTGCCACCTTGTTTGAGACAGGATCTCCTGTCTGCTGCTGCTGGGCTAGCTGGCCCATGAGCTGTGGCAACACATGCGCAGTACTGTCTCTGGCTTTTGACATGTGTTCTGGGCCTTCTGCTGTGAAGCAAGTACTTTACCCACTGAACCATCTCTATCCTGCTCCTTTTTATTTTTTAAACAAGTCTCAAATAGCCAGGTTGGCCTCAAACTTACTGTGTAGCTGAGGACCTTGAACTTCTGATTCTCCTGAATACAAATTTTAAAAGATAATACAATGTCCTATATATTGACCAAGTTCTAGGTTACACTCATGGCTTTTTTTGCCAGAACATACTTAATTATAGATTTGTACAACTCACTGGACATATATTTTATCTGACTAAAAACATACATTGCCCTCTAAACATTTTTATATTAAAGGGACACATTTCAGGGCTGGGGATAGAGTTCAGCATAGACTATTTCTTTAACATGAGCTAACGTATACCATTACACCTCAGTATACCACCCTTAAAACAGTAACAACAAAAACACATTTAAAAAACAAAACAAGCCACGCAGTGGTGGCGCATGCCTTTAATCCCAGCACTTGGGAGGCAGAGGCAGGCGAGTTTCTGAGTTCGAGGCCAGCCTGGTCTACAGAGTGAGTTCCAGGACAGCCCGGGCTACTATACAGAGAAACCCTGTCTCGAAACAAAACAAAACAAAACAAAACAAAACAAAAACCAAAAAAAAAAACCAACCAACCAAAACCCCCAAAACCCCCAAACTCAATTGTATTTCTTTTTATATAGTAAGAGAGACTGAAAATATTACTAGATTAGTATTTGTCTTAAGTGTTATGGACTAATGTGTGGCTAAAAATATAGGCTGGGGATATAGCTCAGTGGTAGAGCACTTGGATAGTATTAGCATGCATGATGGCCCTAGCCAATTCCTCAGTAGCACCATGAAAGGAAAGGAAGAGGCAAATTTTGGTGTGTTGGAATCTTAGTTTAGCAAATCACTCAGTAACTTGGGAAGAACCTCAGTTTCCTCATCTATAAAACAAAAAAAATAGAGGCTAGAGAGATGGCTCAGTGATTAAGACCACTGGGTGCTCTTCCAGAGGTTCTGAGTTCAATTCCTAGCAACCACATGGTGGCTCACAATCATCTTTAATGGAATCTGATGCCTTCTTCTGGTGTTCATGAAGACAGAGCACTCATATATGTAAAATAAATAAATAAATCTTTTTTTTTTTTTTTTTTGGTTTGGTTTGGTTTTTCGAGACAGGATTTTTCTGTGTAGCCCTGGCTGTCCTGGAACTCACTCTGTGGACCAGGCTGGTCTCGAACTCAGAAATCTGCCTGCCTCTGCCTCCCAAGTGCTGGGATTAAAGGCTTGTGCCACCACCACCCGGCTAATAAATCTTAAACCAAACAAAACCAAATAATAAATAGTATGCACTTCACAAAGTTGTCAGGAGAAAAAAGTTGCCAAAATACAACAATAAACACAATGTAAGTACAAGCTATAATTATTACCAAAAATTAAGAATTTACAATTGCTAGCTGTGTGGTAGAGCAAACGAGTGATACCAGCACATAGAAAGTTGAGAAAGGAGAAAACTTTTGAAGTCAACCTGGGTGGGCTACCTGTTTCAAACTCAAAAATGACAGTAGATCAGGCATGTGTGGTTCTGTATTTCCAGAACTTAGAGGTAGCAGGATTTGGAGAACAAGGTTATCCTTATGCTACATAGCAAGTTCAAAGTCATTTTAGCCAATATAAAACCAAACCCAACCCAACCCAACCCAACCCAACAAATACTACACTTGAGAGGTTGTTACCATGGTAATGCAATGGCTGGTCAGACTTTGGAAGAGGAACATTTATATGGAAAATCACTATTCACATCCAAGTAATTAGGTACATAGAAGTTTCAGGTCTTTGATTTTCTCATCGAACAGCAACAAGTCAGAAGTGATCATTCAGAGGTAGGCTGGTCAGGTTTTCCCTACACCCCCACCCTCTCATCTTAACAGAAGTCACAGTCATCTTGAAACAGAAAATTTCAATTGAGAAAATGCCTCCATAAGATTGATGTATAGGGCTGGAGAGTTGACTCAGCATGGTGCTAATCCTAGCACTTGGGGAGCTGAAGTAAGGAAGTCACTAATGAATTCCAGGTCAGAAAGGGCTACATAAAGGATTGTGTCAAAAGCAAACACCATTATTTATTTCCCTTTCCCCTTTTTCTTCCTTTCCTTTTTCCTTTCCTTTCCTTTCCTTTCCTTTTTCCTTTTTCCTTTCCTTTTTCCTTTCCTTTTTCCTTTCCTTTTTCCTTTCCTTTTTCCTTTCCTTTCCTTTCCTTTCCTTTCCTTTTTCCTTTCCTTTCCTTTCCTTTCCTTTCCTTTCCTTTCCTTTCCTTTCCTTTCCTTTCCTTTCCTTTCCTTTCCTTTCCTTTCCTTTCCTTTCC